CTATTGGATAATTTCTCCGTGCTTGGGCGCAGTTTGAGTGTGGGACTGTTTAAGAAATGAAAAATGTGCGTCGGTACGTGAAAAACAATACTGAGCGCGGAGTCTGTTCACTATATGTCTGTAGACTGGCAATATCTCGTAGATTGAAACTTTAGGTTATCGCGACTGAGCATTCTTTACAAAATGTTTTCTCGCATAGAGACTCAAGACTTGACGGCGTCTTAAAGCACAGAGTAGTTTTAAGACATACATGACGGAATGAAAAAAAATGGGACATAATTTCAATGTTTTAGTTTTCTGTTCCCTAGCCTGGCTAGGGAACAGAAAACAGCTAGCCAGAGGTAATGTTGTCTTATTTCAATAGTGTATCAACGGCTTACTATTACTTGAGCTTTATAATTAGAGACAACTCGGTACTTGACGATTTTCTTCGAAAAGTTCATAGGACAAATGAGCAGTTTTGAAAACTCGACTGGGTTCAACATTGTTCGTTGATTTTTAATTTTTCCTAGATTTTTAATAGTACCTCAATATCACTTGTTCTATCCTAACAGTCAAATGAATCACCCATGATAATTATTTTTGACACCTTATCTCTGAGCGAAACACAAGAATTATTTATATCTTCTCAATGTGTAGGTACGAATCAAATTTTTAGATCTTTTTTGAGCTGTCACAGTTGGTACAATTTAGAATTCAACTGACTGCATTTATGCATCTCTCAGCCATTAATGGATTGACTGATATGTTGTTGTTACCTCCCGCCTGTATCTCTTTAAATATACAATTACTGTACATGTTTTACATAATTTGTCTCATCATCTGTGATACTCTGTGTTCTTTGCTGATAAAGTCGGTTTGATTTCATGTTAGGAAATTTTAGAACGAAAATATTGAACAAAACCCTCTCTTGAGTCTTGATACATGCTCAAAAGAGTGTCATTTATACCAACCCTCACACCTTTAAATTCTTCAAATCGTGCTGTATGAACAAGGCGCAAGAGGGTGATTCAACACAAGTCCTCAAAAATAATGCGAAGTTGACGTTACAAAATAAGAGAGTAAAATAGGTGAAAAATCAGAGGCCACAGACATGACTCGCCCGTAAAGCCCAATCGACTTTTTGAAGATTGGTTTTCTAGAAGCACGCCGCAGAAAAGATGTTTTCAAGCTTCTGTAACCCGCGTTTCTATAAATAAGGGACTCATGTTTTCAATCAATCTCAGGCATGCGCTTTCCACGCGTGGCGCACGGTGGATCGAGTCAATGGGGAAGCTCGGACAACATTTGGAAACTTTAAAAGCTCATAAGTCCGTTCATACAGAACTTTAAGGTCTTAAAAGTGGTTCCATTAGTTTCCTCCTAAAATTGTCTACCGAAAACATCCCTTGAAATGTTAAATGCGACGAAATAAATACCAACATTTGCAGTTTCAGTTGAAAATTTCATGTCCGACCTCTCAAATGAACTGGATACACTGTGTGGCGGATCGCTGACAGGCGTTGATAGCCGCTCTTTCTGAGAGTTTCAACGCATTTCTGAACTCTGTCAACGTTATCAAGCGCAGCACCAAAAAAACCCATATAAGTTCATGTAAGCCCTCGGAAAATCTGATCAATTTCATTATCGGGTCAGTAATGGAAAATCAGCAGAATGTTCATTGATCATGCGTTATTTTTCTTTGAAGTTCGATTTCATGTCGATTCACATGATAAGAGGTCATTTCAAATCTTGTTATAATTTTTCTTCTTTTTTTCATACAAATCAAACCACACAAAACCGTCTTATGCAATGCAAAAATTCACGAGTAATAGTTTTTTGTGAGATGAAAAATTGATTAAACATTTTCAAAGTTTTTTTTTTTTTTTTTTTTTTTCAAAGTTTCTATTCTTTTCAAACCAATCTTTGTCTTTGAAATAAGTATACAGGTAGATTCGTCGTGTATTCTGGCAGACGGGCACAGATATGCAGACTGTAAGGAGACATTTTATTTTTTCATTACAGTCTCACCTACGTTTATGACACACATCTCCGTAAATATTTTATAGTAAGAAGGGTTGATTAAGTGCTCATGTGTCGTGGTTAATTTGCTTCAGCACAATTTTGCAAGTTCGTTTTAGGTCGCTGGCCGTCGAAACGGACGTTTTTATGGTAGTAAACATTATCCATCATGTTTTAAAATAGAACTTCGGTGGGCAGTCCTCCAAAAATTCGGATAAAAATCTTTGGCGTTACAGGTAAATTTACAAAGCGCTAAACGACCAGTGTTTCGAGAGAAGTGGACCAGAAAAAGAAATGAATAGCATTCCCCTTCAACGCACGGTATTCACATATTGATGACATACAACTAATATTTTTGTTTCAAAATTGGTCTCTTCCTAATAATTTTGTCCTAAATTCAAATAGCATGAGCGTTGTAAGTTAGTTTAGAAATGAATTAATTTTTTTAGACTTTTTCGGAGGTTTTCTTTTGGCGTAGAAACTCATTATAAATGCGATATGCTTTAGCAGGTATTGAAAAATAATACATTTCATTTTGCGACTGTAGATAGTTACTAAAAGATGCGTTCAAGTCTCTTAACCGCGAATGTTTTTCCTAAGTCTTTCAATAATATGTGAAACCTATTTGATGACAAATAATGTAAGCATGCTAAAATTTCAGCCAAACTGATGGACGCAATTGAAGGGAAACACTTTGCCACCAAAAATACATTTACGAGAGTGATGAATGTAAAAGTACCCCTGAAGAGTGGTTCTACTTAAATTTCGAATTCGAATAGATGAAGATTTGACACTTATTCTTTTCTTGTCTATTCGAGTTTTGCTCGAAACGAAAATTAAAACAAAAATAGTTATTATCATCATTGAAATCTGCTTCCTCACAATTTTATTTTAAGACTAAGAATAAATCGGTTATGCTTTGGATCAGTCTCAAAGGATGGAATGAAATGTCGTTTTGATTTGCAACGCTATTGAATAAAACTAACACCAAAATGTTTTCGCTTTCAATAAGTTTCAGTAATGTCAATCAGTGCGATTGGTCATGATTTCTTATCAAAATTATATGAATTTTATTTCTTAAACGAGCATTTACAATGAGCGTTGTTTTTAAATTTGCGAATAAGTTTTGAATAGTCATTTATTTAAAATCAGAAGAAATCTGTTTTAAATAAAAAAAGGCGTAGCGCGATAAATATTCACATCTACACATATATAATGAAGAGAGAAAGGGGTGCGTTTCGAGGCATCTTTCACAAATTCTTGTCAGCTGTATAAAGTGCTACCCCAAAAAAAAAAAAAAAAAAAAAAAAAAAAAAAAAAAAAAAAAAAAAAATGATAAGAACGTCAAAATGAAGTTAATCAATAATACTTATTTGATCTTAAGGTTTATTAAGTTCTTAAGTTAAGATCTCAAGTTCAATCACCGCGCAGGATCGAAGCACCGTCAAGGAAGGCATCGGCCCAGTTTTCCCGCGCGGTCAGCAGGGTCAGGGGTGGTAGGCTTTGCCGAATGTGGGTGGTGCGAAAGGTCATAATGGGAATTTTCGGGAAGGGGAGAGGGGGCGAATAGTAAACAGCGCCGGGGCGCGTGGGAGTACACTCAAAGCCGGCGTGCGACTCCCGCGGAAATCCTGAGGGATTTGGCCGCTATCCTCAGGGATCAGCACCTCGGATCGGCTATCGATTCTCGACTAATTTGTGCCTACCTCAAGGAAACGCATGTCCTGTGCCGTCACATAGTTTTGGTGCATTGGTTTTGCTTTTTATTCTCATTTTTGAGGTGGGAGAAGGGATATTTTTGGTAATGATTCAAGAGAATAAGGAGGAAAGAGAACTTAGGAAGGAATAATGGAAGTTAAATAGGCTACACAGATAGAGCACAGTGGTGAGTAATTTATATCAAAACTGATCATGAGGGTCTAGTAATTCATATCACGAATATCTATTTAATTTTTAATTTAAAATATGGTCTATTTTCTTGCCAGTCGCTTATCACCGCTGAATTAGTTGTTAGCTAACGTATGAGCGCATTCAGCAGCGGCTCCTTCCTATTGTTTCCGTAAAGAATATTGCTTTAAAGTATATTTACCTCTATTGCCTAGCCCTCTAACCGATTTCAGTATATTTTCTAAAAAATGAATTATAGCAAAATAATTTAGGTTTTACAATGATTTTAATTCGAAAAATTATAGTTCGCACTTTGCACAAGTTACAGAGCATGCACTTACTTTGAACTCGTCGAAAGAGCGATGGTGGAATATCAAACCCATTTAAACTTCAGACGCGCCTAACAGTTTTGACATTCAAATTATCAAAATTGTATTCATTTTTTTTAAAAAAAACATTATTTTATTGCGTGGGGTGTGGATTATTAGTCGATGATCATTAATAAAACAGATTAGAAGACAGCCACAGAATTAAAAGAGTACAGAGCGTTCGACGAGTCAAAAAACCGACTTCTTCTTAAGCATTTATTTAATTCGGAGTTCAGAGGTATTTTCTTGAGTAAGATATAAAATTATCCGCGATAATACAATAGGGATAAATACCAAATGTCTTGAAGAATGAAAAATGATATCAGATTCCGAGATCACTCGAGCGAAATCGATTCCTTAAAATATATACCTCGCTTAGGGTTTAACAAAATTGAAATAATACATTTATTTAATGTCCTCCATGACTATTTTAATTTGTTAGTATTACCAGAATTTGTATTACTTCACAGTGTTCCGACATTTTAAAGGAGTATCTCGATCCGGGGGCGTAAACCTTTGACACGTTTTAGACCCAAAATAAGAACCGATATGATGACGGCATTAAAGTAAAAATAATATTTTAAAAATCAAATGAGATTACTCATGCAACGGAATATCCTAAATTTTCCACGTCAGGCTAAACACATTTACTGCTCGCTTCATAATGCGTCTACACTGATGTATGAAGTCAAGGGTTTCAGCAGTGAGGTAGAAATTGATAACTGGGCAGAGACCAAGACTGACCTGTGATAGGGGGTGGTTCTACAACCGTGGACGGCCCGAAAAACGACGGGATACTTCCGGAGGTAGCGATAGGGGTGTTGAGGTCCCCGGGGGCGGGCTCGGGGGGCGCCGGCTCCCCGTGGGGGTCGCCGCAGGGCCCGGAGGCGGGCGCCGGGCTCCCCTCGCTATCCGAGGAGGCGCCCTTATAGAGGCACGTGTCGAAACTGAGCACGTTGAAATGGTGTGCGGCGGCGGCGATATGGGCTGCGGCAGCGGACTCAGCGAGCAGGAAGGATGAGTGCTGTGGCAGGGCATCCAGCCCGTCCATGATCATGGTCGCAGCTGCCCCTGCGGACACGGAAACACTCCGGTCAGGGCTTGCACTCCCGAAAGAAACGAACGGAAAATCCGGCCCGAGGGACCAACGTCTCAGAATCGGCCCGGAGGACCGATGTTCCGCCGGAGTCCCAGCGCGTACAGTCACCGAAAATCAAACTCCAGGCACAGAACGATAATCCAGACGATGTATTCCAAGTCACTTGTAAGTATGTTTTGTGTCACTGAGGATCCTAGCGAAGGGATCAACACTATTCGGTAATGGCGGCGATGCGTCGACGACGTCACGGGGTCACGCGGGTTCACTTCCCGAATTCGGGGGTAGGTAGACGAGGACGTGGATGTCGTGGCGGTTCACTCACTCGCGGAGGCGCGCGACGGCCACACGGTGCGGCGTGTGGGAGCTGACGCGGACGACTCGCAACTGTTTCGCGAGGCGCGCGCGGGTTTGGTTTTATGAATGAAGCATCTGTCCCATATTTGGAAGTCGGAGCCGAGCCAATGGGAGCGCGCGCCGCCCCCCAGAGCCCCCCGCCGCGCCGCCGTGACGTCAAAATGACGTAATGCAGCGCGCGGAGGGCGGGGAGTCGTCGGGCCCGCGATCGATGCTGCGCTCTGCGCCGCGGACCGCGTCCGGCCGGACTCGACTCGGCGGGGGGAGGGGGTGGGGGGGCCGCGGCTCGGGTGGTAGGGGGTAGGAGCAGGTAGACCGGCATATGAGTATCGAGCAGCGCCAGAGCCCCAACGTCCTTCTGCGGCACTCCAGGATCGATTTTTGAACTTGACGCTACGGCCGGCCCCAGCCCCGGCTCATCGCTACTTGTTGATGTCCAAGACAGGGTAAACTCTCGGCGAAAGCTTCGGGTGCCAAATTATTAGCCGCTTCGAGAAAACGCAATTCCAAGATTTTCCGTCCTTTACACTGAAAAAAAAGATTGGTAGAATTTACCATTCCTTCACGCTGTATTTCACGTACACCGAAAAAAAAGTGAAGTCGATTTAACATCCTGGATGTAAAAGTGTGCGAGAACTCACAAAATGCTAAATTACCCACTTCGGTAGTTATTTTTACATCTTGACACTGCTAAAATTACTGCTGTAGGAGTTAATTCAGCATTTTGTAAGTTCTCGCACACTTTTTTTACATCCAGAATGTTAAATCAACTTCACTTTTTTTTCGGTGTACCGTGAAGGAATGGTAAAAGCGTGAAGGAATGGTAAAAGCGTGAAGGAATGGTAAATTTTACTAATCTTCAAGTCGATTTTGCCAGAGGAATGGTTACCTCTCTTTGGGTTGAATTGACTCTAAATTGACGCTGTGTGAAACACAGCGGAAAGGAATGGTGAATCCTACCAATCTTCTTTTTCAGCGTATCCGAGTTTTAACTTTTGATCGGAGCTTAAATCGCTGCCCGAAAGTGAAGTCCAGTCTTTGATATTGTTGGGCTTTCATCAGTTGTTTTGAAGCCCAATCCACACTATCAAACTTTTCACCCGACTTAATTGAACGAAAGTTTTGATGGAAAGTTGAAAGAATATTGAATGTGACGTCGCATTGAAGTTTCCGTTCATTTTTCCATCAAATGGTCATTTTCTCGCGTCTGTATCACACTATCCAACTTTTCATGACGACAAGTTGCATTCAAGAGTTGAATGTAAAGTGTTATAGTGTAGATTGGGCTTTAAATTCGTCCTCTACAACTATTCGTTCGATCAACTATGATAAATGGAGTTTTAGACAATAATCATCGACTACACGACTTTAACTCCCCCTCCCCCCCACTCCCTTGTCAGCGATTGCCGACTGCTGACTGCTGCTGCTGTTGCAGCTGGTTGCGTCACTCATTTTCACTTTCAAAGGTAGTCTTAAGCTTTGCTACACAAAAGAAAATCTAGACTTCTTTCCACTAAACTTGCTCCGTCAAAAATTCTCGTAACCCTCGGAAATAATTTAAAAAAAAAAAAAAAAAAACGAGTTTATTTTCTTCTTCTTCTTCCTTTATCTCTCTTTTTTTCAAAATAGGTGACAGATTAAATGGTAAAATAACGCGTGCAATGCTTTTCCGGCAAAATACCTGGAATTTTCCACGAATGCCCTCCCCAGAGTCCCAACTGGCAAGAGTGCGAGAATCAGCGGAAGACAGAAAAACAGGGTGGGGACGAGGAACGCGGAGGGAAGGGGCGAGGGGGAGAAGAAAAATAATAAAACATTGAGGTGCGGTACTTGCTCCGGTAAGATGTTGAGGCTGCGCTCGAGACCATCAACCTAAGTGTGTTTCACTTATGCACCTTCCCCCTCCCCCGTCCCCTGCGGTCAGCTATCCTTCCTGCCCCTCCGAGCCGGTGTCCCCCCTTCCCCGATGCCCTCGGTTTGAGCATCATTATTTTCATCATTTTCATAACCTGGGACATGCCGGTGCCTCCTCGCTGGGCTCCAGCGCGTTGTTGTGGTTTGGAGGTCTAACATCCACATTTTAATATATGGATGGCTTTAAGGTGAATTTCTAGGTTTTAATTTAATATCGGTGTATGACTGTTCCTAAGGAAGGGCGCAATTATTTGATACTATCGATGGATTTTTTACCAGAGACACATGTTGTAGAGTTGAGAAAAAAAAAGTGATGAAATGTAATTTTACCTGGAAATTAATGTCACTACTACCTAAGCCCCTCATCGTTTGCTGAGAGGAAACCAAAATAAATGAGAGAAATTTCAGGAAATTTCAAGAAGGCGTTTTGTAATACGGAGGTACCCTGTCCATTAGGTCGCCATCTTATGGGAAGCCTTGGTAAGCTGTCGTTATAAGACGCAATTAATAAGCCAATAATTTCAAAATTATTATTTAATTGGTCGATTGGATCGGTAAGTTCTTGCTAGCTCTCATCACCACTGTAACAATCTATGTTCAGCATAAGAGGCGTGTTTGTCGGAGTGACGTCATGATGACTGTCTTTTGCGTCTCGCCATTCGACGGCGGGTGGCCTCAAATCCCCTGGGTAGAGACTGCGACGCAAACAGCGCGACAAGGAAGTCGCGCCCTCGTTTCTCTGGTTGCGTTCTTCAGTTACAAATTTGCTCCAATGAGCTATTCTTGGAAGTTTCTAATGACGAGGACGTGTCGGCGTTGTTGATGTTGGCAGTATATGTTACTCTAATGACGTTTAAAATGCATCGGAGTAAAAGAGCCTTTAAGTTTTTGACGAATCGTTCCCGAGGAGAAGAATAATTGTGATTCAAGTTAGAGTTCGAGACCTCGTGAATTGGCATCAAACGATTGCTGCGAAACTCAGGTGTACAAAAATATGGATAAAAGTCATGTAAACCGGGGGCTACGCCCCCAGATGGCTTCGCGGTCCAACTCCACAAGGCGCTTCGCGCCTCAGGCGTTATGCGTTAGGCGTTACTCTTATGATTTTGTATTATAGAGTGTGATACTATCATCGGTAAGGTCGTATCAATGTGCGTTTCCAGTGTCCTACATAGCTTTTGATCAGGAAATGTTGATGATGTCCCCTTCCGCTCTTGAACCTCAAACCATGCAATTCTTTCAGATATCAATTTCATACCATGAAACATTTTTTTTACGTGTAGAAATTTCATTTTCACAAAGCTAATGCGAAAAGTGTTTCAGAGGGTCAAACAACTTAAAACACCATAATTGGCACTTATACAGCTATGCAAACAGTCGATGAGATCATCGACAGTTCTTCCAAAATTTGACCGCACAGGCAGACATTTGTGGTCTGAAAACGAAATATAACCCGTTCATTCATAGATATCCACGAATCGAATCGAAAGACAAGTGGAAGTTCTTGTAAGAAAAACTGCTAGCACTGTGACGGATGTATGTAGTGTATCATATGTGCACACAATAAAAATCCAGATGATATAAAAGGTATAATATAATGTAATTTAAATTTAGAAATGTAACCTCCGACTCCTGAGTCTTGAGTTCAAAGAATCTTTCATAAATTTGGTGCCCTGAACGTGAAGAAACTATCAAGAAAATTGTGGCCAAAAAATATCTGTAATTTTACCACAAGGGTAGCAAGTATTTTGCCACCTAAACAGCATTTCTATTTGGTTTTCTTCTCTGTTGCACAAAGAGACGTTGCAATTTTATGACCTTCTTACTCCGGATCCTAAAATTGAACAAAAGACATATTTTATGGTCACTGTTCCTCAAGAAGAGTTAATTTCCGAACGAATTGGAACCCGAACAAGACACTGATAATTAAATTCAAACATTATCAACCAGATCATCTCTTTAGAAGTAAAACAGGTAGTCCGTGCATACCTCTGACATTACTCCTGTTCTACCGTGCTATAAGGAAGAACGCCGTATGAACATTCGAGAGTCGCTAAATTTCCATCGACAAAATGTTAATTTTTGAGGAAAGTTGTGAATATTTTTTCTTGAAATTTTCAGGATTTTTCGGTGGAATTTCAAGCAAAATTATCGGAAAAATTGGAAGAAAAATATTCATAAGTTTACCAGGCAATTCTCGTTTTATCAAAGGAAATCTGGCAATGCCTAAATGTTCATACGGCGTTCTTCTTTAGTGCGGCAGCGTTCCTCAGTGTCTCATGTATGTGCTACCGGGAATGTTCTTCGTCAGGAGCAAGATATCTCGGTGTTATGCAAGGTCAAAGGCTCAAAAAGTGGTCAAAACACCCGTTAACCGAGCCTGGAGCCTCAGAAACAAGTCCCTTGATCGCGATTGGGATCTCAGGATCTGCGTGGCGACTCAAAAAAAAAACTCCAATCAGGAGGCAACTCTCTTGCCAATAAAAAGAAGAAGCTCCCAGTTGTCGATGGCACTTGTCCGCTTTGATTGCTTCCGAGGCGCAACATCCATCACCCTGGGACGGCAACGAATGGCTCCTGCGACGCGAGATTCAAGCCCCGATAAACCGCCACCAATCCATCTCGCGGAAACTGGAAATTCGCGAATCAATAGCGCCTCGCGCCACATATCGCGAAAACAGATGTAAGAAACTCAATTTAACTGATTCTAAATCTTGCAAAATCTCTCGAAATATCTCAAAATTGCATGAAGTATACACGGAAAAAACAACTTAGTGCTAAGCCCTAACTGTTTAGATCAAATTTAGGCAGTTATTATGTCATTAGTGCTGAGCTGTACAACTTTAGGGTCCAGCCCCACAGACTGGGAAGCTCTTAGGACTAGTGCCCTATCAGCTGGCTCCATCTGATCTAAACAGTTACGGCTCAGCACTAAGTTGTTTTTTTCCGTGTTGAATAATTAGTTAATCACAATTACGACGATCAGCAACTAGGCTATTTACGCCGAAAACTAGGCAATTACCTTAAATTTAAAGATTTATACATATGTTAGAAGAGTTTTAAAATGTTGGTATTTATTTGTCGATTATCAGATCATAAAGGATGGATGCTCGAAGGGATGTAATTTTGTATTTCGACGCTTGTAGCA